AATTATCTAAAAGATATTTCATTTTAAGAAGACAAATATTACCCAGAGAAAATTGTCAAAGAGCACCAAGCTACAAGTGGGTAGATCCAATGCTCTAGTCTGGGAAAATTAGTATGTATAAGGAGGCTGCCATCATGGCTGTGTGACCTGTGAGTTGGAGAGACCCTGCCATTAGAAGACCCTTCCCCCATCACACACACACACACACACACACACACACATAGTCCAATGTTCTGCTGTTGTTGACTTGAATATTTAATCATTTCTCAACAAGGGGCTTTATATTTTTATTTTCACTAGCCTCCACAAATTATGTACACAGTTTGCTATATAAACAATGACATATTAATAATGTATATTTCAATGGGGTTGGACAAATTCAAGCTTTCAATTATTTTAGTAAATTTTAAAGAGTAAATTTGTCCCACCTGTTCTGATGAAAGTAGATTCATCCACAGAATTAAATTGATACAAAACTGATTGCGACCACTGGGATCTTTGTTGTTGTTTGCTGTATTACATACTCATCATTTCAAGTAGAAAATAAGGATGAAGTACAATATTCCATTGTCAAATGTGACCATCTGTAGAATGAAAAATTATCTGCTGGGTTGTAAACTCATTTCAGTGAGAGATACTGTTTTGCCCAGATCTTAAAACATTATTGGTGATCATTAAATTTAATTGATAGTGGCATTTGTTAAACAGGCTGAGTAGAAGAACATTTTAATTTTTTATATAAAATAATCAGCTATAGGGTAGAACTGTTCATAACAAATGTTGAAGTTGTAACAAGAGGCAAAATTATGATCGTGAGTGTGGGTTCAAGCTCCTCATTGCCTACATATGAATCCCAACTCTGCCATTCTCTAGCTTTATGGCTAGAGAATTAGGGAGAAGGGCTATGGTATCTTTTAAATCATACTTTCTTAATTAACAGAAATGATTTAAGGGTAATTCTGCCTTAAGAAAGACTCATATTTCCAGTTTACTACTCTATCTCCATATTTGGATAGCTAATAAACTTTTCAAATTTAAAGTATTTAAATAGAAATCTGGATCCACCTCCATTCCCTAACTGGTCTCCACCAGTGTTCTTCAAATTAGTAAGTGGCACCTCTACTCATCCATTAACAGGAACAAAAACCTGGGAATCATTTATTAACCTTCTCTTCTCACTCCAGACATCAATCTACCAACATATCTCATAGGCTCTGTCTCCCAAGTATCTCCTGAAAGTACCCTTACTCTATCTACCACTACTTTCACTCCAGGCTAATCTATTTCTGTCTCTCACCAAGGCTACTGCCAGCTTCCAAATGATGCCCCAGCTTCCATTCTGTCCCCTCTTCAGACTCTCTTAAGAGTTTATTATCTATGTAGCATTAACATAATCTTTTCATAAGTCAAACCATATCATTTTTCTACTCTAAATATTAAATATTCCAATGGCTGCCCATCACACTCAGAATTAATTCCAAATTCAAGAACAAACAAATCATCCAGCATGATATCTCTCCTGGCCATGTCGATGACCTCATTTCCATCCACCAATGGCCTTCCCTCATTCTCTTTATCTACACTGCCCATCTTGCTGTTGCTCAAATACACAAGCATGTTTCTGCCTTGAGGCCTTTGCACTACCATTCTTTCTGCCTTGAATACTCTTTCCTCAGATATTTACTTAATTCAGATCCCTGATCAAAGAAGACTTCCCTAACCACTCGTCCAAAACAGCCCTCCCTGCTTTTCCTTATTATTTATCTCGCAAAATTTTGTCTTTAAGCAAATTATTGCTAGTTACTATTAATTAATTCTAAATCCTTTACTAAAATACAAGCTATATGATGGGAGAAACTTTGCTAATCTTGTTGACTAGTTCATTCCCAGCCTTTACAGCAGTCACTGACACTTAGAAATTGACCAACAAATATTTGTTGAGCAAAGACAAGCGAGCTACACAATATCCATTAAAAAGTGGATGGCCAGGACTTCCCTGGTGGCACAGTAGTTAAGAATCCTCCTGCCAATGCAGGGGACACAGGTTTGAGCCCTGGTCTGGGAAGATCCCACGTGCTGCAGAGCAACTAAGCCTGTGAGCCACAACTACTGAGCCTGTGCCCTACAGGTCGCGAGCCACAACTGCTGAGCCCATGTGCCACAGCTACTAAAGCCTGTGTGCCTCGAACCTGTGCTCCACAACAAGAGAAGCCCCAGCAATGAGAAGCCCGCGCACCACAGTGAAGAGTAACCCCCACTAGCCGCGACTTAGAGAAAGCCTGCACTCAGCAACGAAGACCCAATGCAGCCAAAAATAAATAAAATAAAATAAAATTTTTAAAAAGTGGATGACCATATTCTCATAAAGCTTTGACTCAAAAAGTCCTATTTGCGTTGTGTTCCTTAAACATAGATTCAGAAATAAAAATATATTTTTTAAAGTCATGAAATTTTGTAGAAATGATGATCATCTTGGCACATATTAAGTTTCAATAAATATCAGTGAATAAAGCATATAATGGCAGGCACTCAATACGTATTCGATGGATGAATGAATGAGTGAATGAAGATGTATTGGCCAAATAAGTTACTATGGTAACCACCAAGTTAAGAAAGAAATATACAAAATTAAAGGCTTACTGAATTAAAGCAAAGCTAAATATTTGAAATGCTGTATCTTTCAATGTAATCAGGCAGATATAGAAAAAGAAATGTTCCATCATTTATGAGGTGCTTTTTAAATTTAATTTTCTCATAGCTAACAAAGAATATTATCAGAAAGACCAGGTGAGGCAAAGATTGATGTATTAGTAAGGAAAATGCTACCTGCTATAACAATAACCTCCAAAATTTTGCTAGCCTGATACAATATAAGTTTATTTTCCATTCACATGAAGTCCAAATGAGTGTTTCTGATTTCAGATATTCTCCTTCAAATAGACTTTTAGGAACTTAGGCTACTTCCTTTCTGTGGCTACCCATCTTTAATATGTGTTTTCAGAGGTCAGCACACAAGGGGAGAGGCCGGAGGATCACACATGGTACATTCACCCTTCCTTGGGTAGAAGTAAGTCACATGATCACACAGAGACACAAGAGTGACGGAGACATGTAATCCAAGAGGAATAGGAGATAGGTTTAGTGAATATGTAGTGAGCTTTCCCATGAAGTTTGGGATTTAACTAAGGAAAATATGGAAGTCTCTCTAAGACAAATTGTGTTGGCATATGTGTATGTGTATGTGCCTGTGTGTATAGACAGAGGAAGTTCAGACAATTAAAATCTATTTGGAAGAACATTAAAAAATATGATTTAAAAGTTGCTAGTACTTGGGAATATAACAGGATGTTTTCTATCAAGCTCAAAATTGGGAAAGTAAATTCAGCTTTGAGAGTTAAAGGCTAAAAGCAGCAGAGGATGTATGTGAGCCTAGGCATGCAACATAGGAAAGAGGGAGTATGGCTTCCTGGCTACTGGACCTAAGTGTCACCTGGAAGATGAATGTATTAACACATCAATAATATAACAGTCAACACTATTAGAGAACACATGAGAATAATAGAGACAAATGTCAGCAGTGTCAAGTTGTCTAATAGGTAGATAACTTTAATCAGTGATACATCAGTTAACATCAAGTATTCAAGATCATTCTTCTGGTAGTACCTTAGTCTGATGTTGTTAAGCATTTGGAAACTAGTTTTACGTGTTCTGATCTAATGCACATCAGGGAAACCTGTGATTCTTGGGTAGCTCTGGTGACTTTGAGGGTCCTTAATCCTGCGGTGATGATTTCTCAAGGTAGTTAATTATGGCTTCTGATTGTGATTCTGGAGGGGAAAGCTGACCATGACCATGCAAATATTTATGAGCTGTGTAACAGCTAGGTTTTCACTGTAATCTAGCATATTGGCATTCTGGTTTTTATCCTAGTTTCCTGCGCATTGTCATTAATCTGTGAAGTCCTTCTAGGGCTTGCTGCTTACCCTTGAGTGGAGAAAAGGACAATCTCTTGGTCTTGAATGTGTGGAATGATAATAGATATGTTTTTCTTGCTGTTTCTTCTATTATTTCTAGCTTCACTTTTTACTGTTTTCTACATGTTAGATTTTTAAGGTAGTTATATAACACTGGCCTTTAAGCTTTAAATACTTTAATGTGTGAGTTGAAAGTGCATACAGAATATATAACTGTGAAACAAACAAAAAAGGGATAACTAAAACAAAATTTACATTTTGTACAAATTAGATACAATCTTGGACAAATACTGTAACAGTGAAGCAGAGCTACCTATGAATGTCTTTAGTGTTAGAAAACAGGTATGTGGTATTTACTTAAAATTCAAAATGTTTCAAATAGTATAACTAATTTTTAGCTCTACATTTAAAGGAGAATCCCTGATCCATTTGCACTTATTTATACATGCCTCACAACTCTCTTTCCTATGAATTAAAAATTAATTTCTTTATGTGGAAATTATTTTATAAGTATATGGAAGAAATAGGCCATTCAGGTCAAGCTAAAACAGAAAAGGAACTTTGCTTTTTAAACCAATGTGGATTAAAATGATTCAGAAAATCACAAGATAATGTCTTCAAATTATCTGTTGTAGATCGTGTGTTTTATTTTAGTTTCCAACTAAATATGACATTTAGAGAAGAAAAGTTTAAAATTTATAACAGAGTTTTTATATTCATATTTTCTACCATACAGTACAGATTCTTCATTGGAAAAAAATATCCTCAAAGCAAATGGAAAGTAGTATTTTGACTTAAAGGAATCAAGAATAAATTTAGGCATACAGTTTGAGCATATCTAAAATTTGAAGAATTTAATTAATTTTGAAATATAGGTAAATTTACTATAGAGATTCCATTTTCTACACAATAAGGGGGTGAGCTAACTAATATAACTATGAAAATTCAAATGGACCTCAAAACTAACTTAAAAATTCTCAGGGGCAAAGAAACTATGTGCTTAACTATGGCAATTGTCATTTGCAGATCTGCTCCATTGGGCTTCTCTGTGGTAATGAAATAAGAAGAACCACCTGTTTACCTCCCAGCTCTCAAGGAAAAGAGGCCACTTCCGCACAGACACACACAGTGCCCACCTCAGGGACTTCGGTCAGTAGCATCCCACCTGCCAGGGCTACCCAACTGTGGGCCATAGTGAACACTACTCCAGTTGGTGAAGGTAAGTAGATGAGAGTATGATGCGGAGAAGTTTGAAAAAGTTATGTTTTAAAACATATTTTCTGACTTATTTCAATATTTATTTTTCTAAGACACTTGATTTTTCAGGGCTATAAAACTGGCTTAGAATTTTTGTTGGTTATGTGCTGTGTTTTAAGTTTTAAAAACATTGGTGTCCTTTATGAATAAATACTCTTTCTGAAACAGTGCAAAAAATGTTCATGAATAGTCTTTATTCTGATACGTGAATTTTGGTAGATAACTGAACCCCAATTCTACCTCATTTTGTTTCAACTATCAGTAAAACTTATTTAAAAGACCTGTACTACTTGCCTCATTATGTCTTTATTTAACATCCTCTGAATCATTATATGTAAACTTATATTCCTATCAATTTATTGGAAAAACACTCAGATTTTTAAAAATCTGTTTTTTCCTATTGGGAAGTATTTTGACAGGTTGAGTATGTTTTGACGCGTCTTATTTAACTTACTAAATCAAATGGTGCCATATTGTATGTTAAATTCCAAATTCTTTCTTGTCTCTCAGGATAAGCAGAATGAGAATTATAGCCCTTAACAAGGTATTCCTTGTTTAAAAAATACGTTTAAAGCCTAATGGATATTATAAGCATAAAGGTATACTGCTCTATATTTTTCTGTATAATTTCTGTTCTTTTAAGGAATTAATTTGAAATATGGTATCTAATATAAAAAAATTGTCTATTCAGAAAGTAAAATGAAATTTCTAATATTTCTAACTCATTAGGTCAAATATTCTTTTATATTTTTCACTGTCAAAGAATTGTAAATTTTCATGTTTCATGCTTCAAAGGCATCATTATTTTGGAATGAAGGTTATTCTAAAGAAGACCATTTGTTCTGAATTTGGCCACCCCAGGGAGTACGAATAATAGAACTCTGCATTTATGCAGCTTGTGAAGTCACTAAACTTTCTCATACACTTTTATTAGAAATATGATTTACAAAGCCACATTAGTCTGCATATATATAATGTGTATAAGGTGCAGTGTAATTTGCAGAAGATTCAGCCCAGGGCTTAATCCATTTTTCTTCTTCCTTTTCTTTCTTGCTCTCTCGTTCTTTCTTTCTTACCTTTTCCTCTCTGAAGGTCCAAAACAGACAGACTTTTTCCAGCACGACGTTCTCCCAACCACTGGTTTGGCAGCATTAAATATTGGCACATCCTCTGAAAGTTATTTACTCGAAGAACTGATTTCCACTAAAGAGCTTTCAGCAAAACACAGTCTTCCTTCTTCAGCAGATGTTTCCTCTTCTCAGTTTCTGAATTTTGGTGCTCATGACCCAGCACATATCGTCGGGGGCAAAACATCTGTATCATGTATGCCCATCCAAACTCCAGTGGGCGCACCAGGACTCTTTTTCCCTGATAGGGGAGAGAGCACCCCGTTTATCATCTCATCCTTAATGACAGATTTTATTTTTCCTACACAATCTTTATTATCTGAGAGCCCCCGGACTGTTGTCTTGTCTGCTACCACAATGAGTTCAGTAATTAGTGGTGTTCCAGGGGCTGATGTTGAGTTAAACAGACACTCATTACTCTCCCGTGGCTTCCCGCCCGCAACTGCTTCCGTGAGTGCACCTCCAGTCGTCTCTCAAGAGGATATTGAAGAATATTCAGCTCTTTCGTTAATTTCAAGAAGAGAGTCCTGGAGACTGCTGAGCTCTTCGATGTCTCCCATTTCTCCTGCTGAGATAATCATATCCAAGCCAGTAGCCATCTTAAATTCATCAACTCTGCACCAATTCACCACACAAGCCTCCATTCCCAGTGAAGAGCAGGTTATTACCGAAGCATCCAGCAACCAGAGACTCACAAATATCAAACCACAGGCTGCTGATTCTTTAAGTGAATTAAGTCAAACATGTGCAACGTGTTCTATGACTGAAATAAAATCCTTTCATGAATTTTCAGATCAAGTTTTGCATAGCAAACAGTCCCACTTTTACGAGACATCCTGGATGAATTCAGCAGTATTAGCCAGGTGGTTTGCACGAATGGGAACACAAACTATCACTTCTGGACATTCACTTCCTTCGGCTGCTGAAATCACGCCATCAGTGGCAATCACAGAACTGTCATCTTTATTTCCTTCTACAAAGAGTACAAAAAGAAGAATTTTAGTCTCATCCATAGAAGAATATGTTACCCTATCAAGTAATTTGGATGTTAATTTATGCTTGGATAAGATGTGTTCATCCATTATCCCTTCACAAACTGTCCCTTCAGACCTGACGAATTCGGATTTGACTTCACAACAGACTGCTGATGATCCTTCAGTATCAGAAAACATTTTTAAACTATTGAAAATAGGACTCTATGGTACAACTTTGGGTCCCACTGAGATGCTGAATGAAGACAAGTTACTGGGCGTGCGAGAGCATGAAGGGTCTTATACCCGGTTCAAACCTCACACAGGGGATGGATCTCTAAATTTTGAATTAAACTTTCAAAGTCATCCAGAAACTATACATTCAAGTGACCTCAAAAACAACATGCCACAACATGTAGACTCCACGTCTGATTTTTCAGAAGTAACCTCTCCTGTAGCATTTTCTATAGTTTCAGCAACTCAATCACTTCCAATACAGACCTCTGTCCCCATGTCTGTAGTTATGCCAGATTGGACATATTATACAGATTATCTGACCTTAGCACCTGATTTAAGAGAAGAGGTCAGAACTTCTTCAGAATGGTCCAGATGGGAGCTGCAGCCTCGTGGGCGTGGTCAGGAATCTCCTGTGGCAAGTCAAAGGCTTTCCATCACTAGGTCTCTTATCTGGTCTTCCCTGGAGCCCATTCCGGCACCTCCTCAGCTGATGATTTCTGGTGAGTTCCTCAGTTTTAGTTCTGTAAACTTTTAGAAATGAGTTTCTTTTCTACAGAGAAGAAAGAGCCTGTCATGGTCACCAGGTGCTCTAAACAGCCTCTTTGTAATCAGGGCAGCAGCCAGTTCAATGGAGATGGCCCCTGCTGTTGTACCTGTCACAAGTGGTTATTCTTTACACACTGCCACAAAGGCTCACAGATCAATGCAAGAGTATGTTGGAGATGGCTATACCACAGGCAATCAATCAGCAACCACTAGTTCAAGTTGTCACAATGGATCTTACAAAGTTTTGGAATAACTCTTATTATTCTCATTTCTTGAAATAGCTTCTTTGTAAGATTGAACACAATATAACAAACACTTTCTAACATTTTCTTCAGAGCTGGTACTTTTTAAACTGTAAAGATGAAAAAACTCAAGGGAACTCTATTGGATTTTCCCATCCTACATGGTGTGGTTTATCATTTTTTCATGCAAAGCCGTGATGCTTTCACTGTATACATAATACAGAATATAAATTAATGTCTTTTATTTAACAGAAACACCATATAGCAACTGACAGAAAATAATATCCTGTATATGAATTTGAATTCAGAGTCTTGAAATAATTAATGAAAAGCCACTTTTCTTAGATAACTGCTCTTAGCTTAAAGCATTTTATAAATTACTAATCTCCTTTACCCTTGTAAATTACTATCAAGTTAGGAAACGTGCAAAAAAAGTTTAAGAAATTGTATTTTACAGAAAGAGGATATTTTGCATTTTTAAAAGAGTTCTATCTTGTGGCATTTCAAGTGTAATTGTGGCAGTGAAGTTAATTTTTCTTCAGTGAGAAATTTATTAGTTTTGTGTGTGTATGTGTGTGCGTATATGCTTCAGAAGAAATACACATTATATCAATATTTTAAAGTTTTTAAGTGAGTGACTTATGGCTGGCAAATCAGTAATATGAAAGACCAAATCATTATATTCGGTGTGTCCAATATGATATGATTTGCTTTACAAAGTTTCTAAAAATAACATAGTAAGTTTAATTACAAATTTAAAAGTAGAATCCTCCTTGTGCTTTTATAAGATGACAGCTGGTTGTCTAATTTAAGACTTATCGACAATGCCTAACACGTCACTGCTCACAGAGAAGGTTCTTAGTAAATGTAGCTGAGTTACACCTCCTCTCCTACAGTAACCCCATAGCCACCCCTGACTGTCCAGACAATCAGGACACAAATTCCCCATTTCTAGGAAATTGAATCCTAGTTTTGCCCTTTATGAGCAAAATCTTGTCACATTGCATTTTGCTCATCCCTCACTCCAACTGCAAACATCCTTTGATGGTTTTGACCTCCTCCAATTCTCCTAGCCTCCTTCTAGTTTCTCTTGCCTCCCTAATCCTTTTAGACAAGGTAATCAATCATTTCCAAGACATGCTGGCATTTTACCAATATCTTCATCCACTGTATTGGTCAGGGTCAAATCAGGGAAAAGATAGCAAACTCCAACTGGGTACTTGGGGAGAGTTTAATAAAAAGATCATTTACAAATATATGGGTAGGGTATAAGGAAACAATGAGGCATAGTATGGTTTGCTGGGACTAGTACCAGCCGAATGTCATTACTGCCCCTAGGCCAGAACGGGCAAAGGAAAGGGCAGTTACCAGGACCCAGAAACTATGGAGGAAAGCTGCCAGCTTACAGAAGCTGTGGCTTCTCTGTAGGGGAAGACAGAGCAGTCCAAGGCAATCCAAGATGGAGAAGCCCAGGAGATGTACACACAACCTCACTGTCTCCTGTCCCTGTTGGCCAAACCCATTCAGGATCTGGAAAAGATCTTTAAAACCACATCTGGTCTAATATTTTCATGTAAAGGAAAGGTGAGGTAGGCCATAGTAGAATGGCCTGCAGTGCTAAAATCTTCAGCACGTTCTAATACACTGCCAAAGTATGGAAGGAATGTGTCGCTAACACAGGGAGAATTTCCTTGTATGTTTCTAAAGTGAACCATTGGGCAATACTATTTCCTCCCTTCATGCTTCTTCCATACTAGGAAGTATAAAAGGTGGAGAGCCTGTTATTCTGTGCTCCCTTGCTCTGGTGAATTCCTCACCTTGCATTGGGTTGCTGAGAAAAAAAAAAAAAAGATACCCCAAGCACCCTCTTGTGATCAGCAAAGTGAGCATCATGGCACAACCTCTACCAGTGCGTCTCCTAGAGTTTGGTGGGACTTTTGACGCATATTATTGCTATTTTGTAGTCCATCCACAGCTCTATTAAGCTGAATGGAAGGTGTTGTGGTACCCATCCTCTAAACAATCCAGTCTTTGTGGTTTGGTCTAACTCATGAAGAAAATGAAACCTAAGAGAGAAAAAAGAACATTTTTTAGCAGTTCATATTAATTTTCTGTAGTAATATGTCTATTTTTTTTTCTACCAGTTGTTTGGGAAGAGTGTAAGGGAGAGCAACCGGAGATTCCTGACCCAAATATTCTCTAGTAGCAGTGGGTAACAAAAATAGCACAAAAAGAAAAGTTTGCATGAGTTCCATTTATTCCATTCATGGTTGTAACGTTTCAAGTTAAAAAAAAAAAATCCAGTACTATATTAGTAAAATTCTAGAAAATGGTAAATGTTATTTTCTCCAGGAAGAAAAGAATGAGTCAAAGTAAGATATTTAATAATAAAATTTACCACATCATTAGATATAAAGACATTGACATTTATTTTATAGTTTACTGAGAGTGTTTATTTTTTTCTCTTTTCTTCTTTCTATTCTAAGGGATTTACATTATCTCCAAATCTTTTAGGTATATATTATTGTTGACAAACATAACAATATAAATAGCTCACAATGATACTTAATCCCATTCTTTTTTTTTTTTAAACATCTTTATTGGAGTCTAATTGCTTTATAATGGTGTGTTAGTTTTTGCTTTATAACAAAGTGAATCAGTTATACATATACATATGTTCCCATATCCCTTCTCTCTTGCATCTCCCTCCCTCCCACCCGCCCTATTCCACCCCTCTAGATGATCACAAAACACTGAGCGATCTCCCTGTACTATATGGCTGCTTCTCACTAGCTGTCTATTTTACGTTTGGTAGTGTATATATGTCCATGCCACTCTCTTGCTTTGTCACAGCTTACCCTTCCCCCTCCCCATATCCTCAAGTCCATTCTCTAGTAGGTCTGTGTCTTTATTCCAGTCTTACCCCTAGGTCCTTCATGACCTTTTTTTTTTTTCTTAGATTCCATATATATGTGTTAGCATATGGTATTTGTCTTTCTCTTTCTGACTTACTTACTCTGTATGACAGACTCTAGGTCCATCCACCTCACTACAAATAACTCAATTCCGTTTCTTTTTATGGATGAGTAATATTCCATTGTATATATGTGCCACATCTTCTTTATCCATTCACCTGTTGATGGACACGTAGGTTGCTTCCATGTCCAGGCTATTGTAAATAGAGCTGCAATGAACATATTGGTACATGACTCTTTTTGAATTATGATTTGCTCAGGGTATATGCCCAGTAGTGGGATTGCTGGGTCGTATGGTAGTTCTATTTTTAGTTTTCTAAGGAACTTCCATACTGTTTTCCATAGTGGCTCTATCAATTTACATTCCCACCAACAATGCAAGAGTGTTCCCTTTTCTCCACACCCTCTCCAGCATTTATTGTTTGTAGATTTTTTGATGATGGCCATTCTGACTGGTGTGAGGTGATATCTCATTGTAATTTTGATTTGCATTTCTCTAATGATTAATGATGTTGAGTTTTCTTTCATGTGTTTGCTGGCAATCTGTATATCTTCTTTGGAGAAATGTCTATTTAGGTCTTCTGCCCATTTTTGGATTGGGTTGCTTTTTGTTATTGAGCTGCATAAGCTGCTTGTAAATTTTGGAGATTAATCCTTTGTCAGTTGCTTCATTTGCAAATATTGTCTCCCATTCTGAGGGTTGTCTTTTGGTCTTGTTTATGGTTTCCTTTGCTGTGCAAAAGCTTTGAAGTTTCATTAGGTCCCATTTGTTTATTTTAGTCTTTATTTCCATTTCTCTAGGAGGTGGGTCAAAAAGGATCTTGCTGTGATTTATGTCATAGAGTGTTCTGCCTATGTTTTCCTCTAAGAGTTTTATAGTGTCTGGCCTTACATTTAGGTCTTTAATCCATTTTGAGCTTATTTTTGTGTATGGTGTTAGGGAGTGTTCTAATCTCATACTTTTACATGTACCTGTCCAGTTTTCCCAGCATCACTTATTGAAGAGGCTGTCCTTTCTCCACTGTACATTCCTACCTCCTTTATCAAAGATAAGGTGACAATATGTGTGTGGGTTTATCTCTGAGCTTTCTATTTTGTTCCATTGATCTATATTTCTGTTTTTGTACCAGTACCATACTGTCTTGATTACTGTAGCTTTGTAGTATAGTCTGAAGTCAGAAAGCTTGATTCCTCCAGCTCCATTTTTTGTTCTTATGATTGCTTTGGCTATTCGGGGTCTTTTGTCCATTCTTTAAGTAGAAACAGAAGAGGTAGTTCCATTAAACTCATAAACTAGTCAAAATGCCTTTTATGTACATATTTCTTCTTATAGTATTTAAAAACTCTATTGGGGAAATGCATTATTTAAGTAACCAAAAACACAAACTACTGCTGCTTAATACTATACAGAACAAAGTTTAAAAGGTGAAATTTGTTGAATACCTTAAAAGTAGATAAATGGAGACATATCTTTATTTGAGAGCTCAGAAGTGTGATCTCTTAACACTACATAGACACTACATTTGAAAAGTATACAGCAATTTCAAACAATTTCAAATGGGATAATTGTTGAACCCTGATTAAGTCATTTTAAAGTGAAAGAGAGTAGGAAGAGAAATGTTGAAAAGGAATGGCAATAAGAGAACTTGTTGGTAAAGTATTAAAATAAACTTTAATAAATGATTATGATGTTATCACAGGGATGCAGATAAAAAAATAGAACAGAAAGTCCAGATA